GATGCAAGCTGAATAACGGCATGACACCCTCCTACACTATGCATGTTTAATTTGAAGTAAGCCTGGGACTTACTCCCAGGCAAATGTGCATAGGATTGACATTTTAGCCCACAAAAACACAATATATAAGTCTCTATGAATTCTTCATAGAATAAAGTCACCTAGCCACCTACACCTTGTCAAATGACTTCTCATTTATAAAAGACACTTCAATTTATGCCAGGATCCCAGTGGTTAAACAAATGAAGGGGAAACCGATAACAGATGTGAGCTTTAAGTTATCTTGTGTGCCTCAGAATAATGCACAGCCTATGAATTATGAGTACTGCATAGCAGTGTCTAGAGAAGGTAACAAGCCTGTTGGGCAGAAAGAGGAATGAGTTCAAAAGTTCAAAACCTAACAATAATCAACATTACGATGAATAATTTCACTGTAATCAATTGGTTTTTTTTCAGGACTGGATGCATATTTCAGGACACATTTTTTAAAACAGCAGACAATGAACAATGGCTCAGGGAGCAGCGAAAACCACCTCTAGAACCGGAAACCTTCATAGATAAGGACAGTACACTGAAAGTTCAACAGATATAAGGCTACAAGAGTGAATCACAATGATCTGAGGCATGTAGGATATGTGTGGCAGAGCCCTGAAAGCATTTGTTACCACACAAACTACAGCCATAAGTCTGAAGAGGTAATACATGCATGGCGTCTTCAATGGAAGCAAAAAACACCTGATGGATTCTTAGGGCTTGTCCTCACTCGCACTTGTCCCATTCCTAGAAAGCATGAGTCTGAGCAGTTTTCAGCTTGACCTGTGCTTTATTATTATTATTTTCCCCCTTGCCCCTCTCCTTTCCCATTAAAAAACCTCACTCTTGTGTGCTAAATCGAAGCATCAATTGGAAAAGAATCTGAATTGCTGTTGGCTCCGACTGAGCACTAAAGAGTGGTTTTTCCCAGGACAAGGGAACTGTGGTGAAGTCCTTAGCAGGAAACCTTTCCAGGGGCTCTGTCTTAAGGCTTGAGGGGAGGAGTGGCTGTAGCACATTTGAACATCTTCCCTGTATGTAGAAAAATAGCACGATAAGGGGAAGCAAAGTGTTTTTCAACCCTGCTGAACACGTTTCTGAAAAATGTCATTTGCTTCAGTTTTATTTGGGAGACAACACAAATGTGCAGTGCCATCCTTTGCTCAGGGACAATGTGTCCCACAACAATCTCTCAAGTCCCGTGCTTTGAAAGAGGAATGGCATTCCTGGGTTTGTGTCTGGAGGTGGTTGGAGGATGGATAGCGGCTAACAGATTGAGGTTGACAAGACAGAAGTACTGTTTTGGGGGGACAGGGGGTGGGTGAGTGTGGAGGACTCCCTGGTCCTGAATGGGGTAACTGTGCCCCTAAAGGACCAGGTGCGCCGCCTGGGAGTCATTCTGGACTCACAGCTGTCCATGGAGGCACAGGTCAATTCTGTGTCCAGGGCAGCTGTCTACTAGCTCCATCTGGTACACAGGCTGAGACCCTCCCTGCCCGCGGACTGTCTCGCCAGAGTGGTGCATGCTCTAGTTATCTCCCGCTTGGACTACTGCAATGTGCTCTACGTGGGGCTTCCTTTGAAGGTGACCTGGAAACTGCAATTAATCCAGAATGCGGCAGATAGACTAGTGACTGGGAGTGGCCGCTGAGACCATATTACACCAGTCCTGAAAGACCTACATTGGCTCCCAATACGCTTCCAAGCACAATTCAAAGTGTTGGTGCTGACCTTTAAAGCCCTAAATGGCCTCGGCCCAGTATACCTGAAGAAGCATCTCCACCCCCATCGTTCTGCCCGGACACTGAAGTCCTCCTCCGAGGGTCTTTTGCTGGTTCCCTCCCTGCGAGAAGGGAGGTTACAGGGAACCAGGCAGAGGGCCTTCTCAGTTGTGGCGCCCTCCCATCAGGTGTCAAGGAAATAAACAACTATCCGACTTTTAGAAGACATCTGAAGGCAGCCCTATTTAGGGAAGTTTTTAATGTTTGAAGTTTTATTCTGATTATAGTGTTCTGTTGGGAGCCATGCAGAGTGGCTGGGGAAATAAGATTATTATGATTATTAAATGTTTCAGCATAACAGGAAAGGTATTAACTGACCTTAATGCTTCGACCAATTAGTTTGGCTGCCGCTTCACTTCTTTCAGAAAAATCCTTCTTCTGAAAGGAGGGCTCCTTGGGTTCTACTTTCCATACAGAAATGTGATATTTCCTGGGTGTGTTTGTGTGTGTTGATTGGCAAAGTTACACAACATTCAACATACTATAATAATTTTTGCAGGCATTTTTATTATTCACCAAAAGTTTCTATCTCTCTCTTTTTTAAAACCTGAAATTTCCAAAACAGTGCAAGTGTATTAAAATAGAAGTGAACACACAGTCGGTAAATACAGGTGACAATGATAATAACAAGACAACATACGCTTCGGCCCAAATAAATCCATCAAAAGTTAACAATTTTACAGTTGGAGTGAAATGTTTAGCGAGTGAGTGAAAATGGTACAATGGCTTCCTTTATATTCAAACATGTGCCCCAAGGCTTTGACACTTCGCATGTCCTCTCTGCTATGTGCTGCACCACCAAGGATTGGCCATAAATGAAGGCACAAAATCAAGCTGTGAAACCTTTTTTCCCCCTTTGCAGCTTGTATTAGTTAAATACTAATACCTTCCCATCTGACGCTGATGCTGGGAAAGATGGAGGGCACAAGGAGAAGGGGACGACAGAGGACGAGATGGTTGGACAGTGTTCTCCAAGCTTGGCCAAGTTTGACCAAACTGCGGGAGGCAGTGGAAGACAGGAGTGCTTGGCGTGCTCTGGTCCAGGGGGTCACGAAGAGTCGGACACGACTAAACAACAACAACAAACCTTCCCATCTAGTACAGAATGTGCAGAATTGCAATTTGGTAAAAATATGGTACTACTGAGAAGCCCATCTATAAGCAGAAAAAGCACATGGAGGAGTTCTTCCTGGAACATAGCTCTTCAGTTCAAACCGCATGTAGGGACTGCAATTTACAATACTCATTCACATAAAAATCTATGCTAAATTGCTTCTTCCTGACATGCTAGGTTTTTATGTGCAGGGCAGTGATTGCTAACATGAAGTGGGGAAGTCAAACCTACCAAGAGCCTGTCCGGACATGCCATGTGATGTTTCCTGAGCATTTTAATTAGCTTCAAGTCACACTTTAAATAGAAAAACAAAATCCACATTTCATTAAGGTCACTTGGAATTAGCATAGTGGTGGCAGACCAGACATTGGATTATATGGATCGAACCAGCAAAAGCAGTTCACTCTAACTACTCTTGGGAGAATTATTTTTTTAAGAGCACTTCCATGAAAAACAGAAGATGAGGACTTCAATATGAGAATGAATGCATTGTGTATTTTGATGGCCGTATTCTGAAATTGTGGAATGAGGATGGAATGCTATTCTGGTGTCACAGATAACCAACAACTGTATGTGCATCACAGAATAAACATATATAACAAAACTACTAAAACCTCCCTCCATTAATCATAGGAAAATCTAGTCTCCACCGATTTCTTGTTCAGCTATGGGATTTGGAGATAATGGGTGATATGTGGTGAGCTGACTAATTGAGATCAATGAAATTTACTTACTTGGGTGCACTCTTTTAAATGGGTCTATTCTAAGTATAAATAACATTGATATCAACCAACAATGACTTTTCTTAATACATTTTGGAAGGGCAGGTAAAATTCCCTTTTCACTGGGATTTGTAATGGGAGTGTTGGAAGGACTTAGAAAGGTACAAACTTGCAATCAAACTATAAATTGCATATTTCTTCAATTGCAGGGTAACATCAGTAAATATTTGCTGTGGCACCTAGTACTTTATAGATTGCCGAATGAGCCACAAGGAAGCAAGGCACAGATCATGATTTAGCTTCCATTAGCTTAAAAACCCTGAAGTCATGGTTTGATTCTTGTCTGCAAAATTTGTACTGATCTGGAAACCATAAAGCCACTCTCTACACACTTACACACACACAGTTCACACATTTGTGCTTACTTGAAAGACACTATGCCATCGCATGGTGTCTGTTTACATTACTGGTGTTAAAACGGTTTGTGGCCTCTGAGCTATAAAATATCTAACAAACTCAATGCAGTGCTGGTGAATTTCCCTCCTCTCTTTTTTTCACATGGCCAAACTACCTGTGCTACTCAGTCACATGCAATTGCCAAAATGCAGCCACAAAAGCTGCAATCTATAGCAGAAGACCGGCACGGGTGGGTGAGGTTTCTAACCCCTGGCTTCAGACCAACCACTATAAAATATGTACAGACAGAATTAGGGTGGCCACATGGCCGACCGTACAGAGGATTGCCCTCTGTTTGAAGGGCTGTCAGTCCAAGTCCTGTTTAAAAATAAAGGAACTTAAGAAGGGAGAGCGGAGGGGGGGGTCTTGAAGTTGTCTGTCAACAGTTGGCACTTCGACAGCAGACTGAGCAGGCTCACAGGTCATCTGTCACAATCTTCCTTGCTGTGGTGAAATGTATTTCTATTTGAGTTACTGTAATAATTTCTAAATTTGCACACACGCTCTTTCTCTCAGCATCAGTGGCGTAGCGTGGGTTGTCAGCACCCGGGGCAAGGCAAGTAATTTGAGCCCCCTAACCCGTGGATTTGCGCCCCCTAACCCGTGGATTTGCCCTAACCCCAGATGTTGCGCCCGGTGCGGCTGGCCCCCCCTGCACCCCCCACGCTACGCCACTGCTCAGCATGCATATATATGAACATCTGTGTTTTTTGGGCAATGCGTAAATGGCTACCCTACACATATTTCACACACACACACCTTTCTGCCCTGCACGATAAAAGAGGAACGTACTTCCAAATCAGTTTTCTGTAGTAGATTGCAGCCATTTGTAAACACAAAACCAAAAGATCACAGATAAACTACACATAGCTGAAGATTTGTGTTTCTTCGTCCTTAGATATAATCAATAATCCAGCCAAATTCTAGTTTTTGAGGGAGGGGTGCTGAAATAACCTGGTGCCCTGTGGATATTTTGGACTATCCATCCCTGGCAATTGACATTAGGCAATGTGAGGTGGGCAGCTCAAGGAGCTAATTTTGGGTGCCACAGAAGGGCAGCACGTTGTCTATGTTTTAATTAATTGTTGCTGTTGCTTTTGCAGAGACCTTGTTTTGGCCTTTGGGGACAAATTCTGAAGATTTGAAGAGAAAGTGCAGATAATAGAATGCAAACATTTCTGTACTTGATTGCTACTTTTTATGATATTCTGGCTAATAATATTAATAATATTTCAACATGCCTCTCAGCTTGTGAAAATAAGCAGACATGTGGAACCAAATCCTCTCCTGGCACATAAACAATCAAATCAGTAGGATCCCACCAGGATAAAATTTGATCTAATTCTTACATATAATAGTGCAACTGAAGGCCATTCTTTAATATACCAATTTAATTTGTCAATATTAATATTTGTCCATTAACAAGACCAGCTGGTGGTTAGAAGGGGCAGTCTGTGGTATTGCATAGCTGCTTCTTTTAATGTGCTGAGGTATAACTTTGCAATATTGAAGCAGTCTTATTTTACTTCCTGGGTCGCTTAGCAAAGCCCTTCCATAGCAGGCTGATTTTGAAGAAATGGTTTATTCCACATTAAAAACTATATTGGTTATCTGTTCAGGAATTCATGTTACAATCACTGAGAAAACCTTCAAACTGTACAAAAAAAATATTGCAACGGCAAATAAATATTTCTGTGGTTTTGTGTGAGTTTTCTTTGGGAACTATCATGGTTTTAATTTCCTCCTCATGTCTATGGTTTGTTAGTATATGCAAATAATCAAAGAGACGCCATGTGACTGGATGCTGGAGGTGCTCTTAATCTTTTTAAACTTATTATTAATGTCACAATGTTTGCCTGCATTATCGGTGATATAAAGTGAAAGCTCACAAACCGAAAGACTGGGCTGGTGGAAATTAGCAGCAATACAAAGAGTTAAAGCTGAATTGGAGCAATTTGTGTCTTCTGTGGATTGCTGTTTGCTCTGATTGAGCTTTAAAGAGCAGGGAAAGCTCTGGAGCAAAAAATTGTGGGCGGAATAAGGATTCCACATGCTTCTTACAAGTGGAATGAGAGGCATGACGGCCACTGATATGCAAAGAGCACGTTCAAGCTAGTCTTGCTCCTGAGTCATAAGGCCAGGATGTCACCTTGCGGTACACTGTAAAAGTACCACAGTTGAACTCGTAGCCATTTGCACATTCTTTGTAACATCCGAAGAGGTCACCAGACACAGCCTGCATTTCCCTTCAGACAGTACGAAGAAGCTGCAACCAACTGAATGTGCATGACTACGTGGTTAGCTATGTAAAACCCAATGCATGTTTCAACTGAAGAGCTAATTTGGAAGTGCCATTGTTAAATAGTACAGACCTCAGAGGCAGAGAATATACCTGGCATGGAAAAAGCCACAGGTTCATAAGATCACAGCTGTCAAGCTCCAGCACAAAGGAACTCAGGTAGGAGGGTTTGGAAAGAACCCCACCGGCCTTCTTGGTAAGTCACTCCTAGAACTTGCTGGAGTAGATGAGCTATGGTCAGCCTCATGTGTTTGGCAGTGCCACCTCGGCCAAACATAGCAAGGCATTCAGAAAGTCATGGCTGTTACTTGAAAACTGGCCTACTCTTCCACGTGGTTCCATAAAACTCTGAAATTTACATTGTATATTGTTTCAGGCAATCTCATTCCCAAATGACATTAAGACAGTACAACCCCAAAGTGAGGACTGAGCTATTCCCAACAGTCACTTAAGAATTCACCATGCTATAATCCATTAGGATGGAGCTGCAAGAAAACATGTTAAAGAATCATTACCAAAGAGAAGATTTTTGTTTTACCAAGAAAGGCACCTGAAGTTAATACATATCCCATCTTAATGTAACGTGTGATTGCTTTAAACATTATGAGAGATGAATTCAGGCGCTAAACATAAATACCTGTTTTCTTGTGCTGAACACCACTACCTGCTATTGTAATTTGTCAACAAACCTGATGAAAATTTCTATTGCCAGTGTATGCCCAATCTTAATCTAGCCTTATTTACATAGAGGGACATGCAGCAAATTCTGCTAGCGAAACCTTACTGATAACCAGTGAGGTCCAATGTGTAAACTGCTGGACTTTCAATATAAATCTCAGCTGAACCATGGGAATATTTCTTTATCTAAGCATAGGTTTCTGATCTGACCTTGCACAGCAGTCACAAAAACAAAAGATAGGTGGTAACAGGGACAGATAAACAATCATAAAATAACCAGGCATTAGATAATGGGAGTTTCTTTTGTTTATATTTATAAGATCTTGACTCCCCAGTTCCTTCCCATTGACAAAGGACTACATATCAGTGAAGTCAGGGTAGCCAAAGGAAGACATTCATTGCTGCTTTCTTCAGTGCAATATGCCCTACGAACAAGGGTACATAGAAGCCAAAATGAGCGACAGTTCCTGTCATTTGGTTGCAAGGAATAGTTTGCCATCTATAAAGCATGCCACACGTCGAGAGAGGGGAGCAAAGTGATTTTGACAGACATGCAGCCCAATCATTTAGGCTGCAGTCCTAGAACCAGGCAGCTGGCAGTAATCCCCATTGAACTCCACGGGACGTCTGGGTCAGGGCTGGCCCAGCCATGAGGCAGACTGAGGCAGCTGCCCATCCCTGTCACTAGAGAAGGGAGGAGAAGCAGCAGCTTCCAGCAAGACCTTGCAAGATCTCATGGAACTTACATGCGATCTCGCAAGAAGTCGGCTAGTTCTTGCGAGATTTGCCGGAAGCTGCCGCCCTGCAACCCCGGTAAGTGAGGTTTGGGCAGAGGGGCAGTGGAGCGGGCACAGCACCTCCCCGTTTTGCCTAAAGTGGTGAAATGGGATGAGCCGCCCCTGTTCTGAGTAGACATGTACAGAATTGTACTGTTACAGCATCCATTTGAGGAACATGGGAATCAGACCATTGGTCCATCTGACTAATCTTCAATGAACAGAAGCAGCTTTCCAAAGTTTCGGACAAGGGCACTCCTGGCAATTACTGAACCTAGGATTTTAGGCATGCGGGACAGATGTTCCGCAACTGAGCATCTCTGCCCTTCCCCATACTCTGCCATTAAATACTGTTTCTTTACATCCCTCAACCCATGCCTTCTTTTCCCATGGCCTCTGGTTTTCCTTCATCTTTGTTCTAGACAGAGGATGGCACATTAAAAAATAAAAAATAGATCAACCATTTAGGGGGAGGAAATTGCAAAAAAGAAGAAGAAAAAATTCTTATTTTATTCTAAATGAATTTTCTGAATTTGTCAACCTGAAGCCTGCCCTTACACATCAGGAAGGCTCCATATTCAACCCTCTTATACTAAGCACAGCTCAGAAGCTGTCGACAAAGTTTCAGAATGCCTCCTGTCTGTGCTGCCTGCCTGAGACTGCAAAACCAGGAGGGGCTGTATTCAGTTTGGTGCATCACTCGCTACCCAAGCCATGCTTGAAGTGCAAAGAAATGGTATCACTCAAGTCCTACCTAAAAACACTGCTGAGGGGTTGTTCTGGAAATTGTAAAAGTGCTGCTTCTTATTTTAGAAAAGGGTCTCCTAGGGAAGGATGGCATGACATATCTGCATCCAAGTGGGAAGGGAGATTTAAAAGGGCAGTGTATTTTTCAAAACAAAACCAGAATGTGACATACTTTATAGACAGATCCCTGAAAAGCAGACACACACAAAATCCAATGTGAGCAGCATTTATGGTTCTTTAGCTCCCAACTCAAATATTTTCCTTCCCTCCCCCCCCCCACCTTTTTAATGAAAGGATTTTGGCTTAGTGCCACTGAAGGCTTTATATACAACATCACCAAGGCTAGTGGATTGCGTCCGTAGGGTGTTTCATCTCGTTTCATCTGCTTGCCTCTTCTGCACTGAAGTTCAAATGTACAGTATGGATGATATATGCATGTCCAAGACTTCAGCTGGATATCAGTGCTTTAAGCTGCGGTCCTATACCCGCTTACCTGGAGGGAAGTCCCATTGAATTCAATGGGACTTACTTGTAAGTAGACATGTACAAGACTGCACTGTTAGTGAACTATATATATATATATAAAGCTATTCAATAGAAAACATAAAACATTGATACAAATATATAAAAAGTCAAAATCAGTATAAAAAGCTTATATTTATAAAAAATACTTTTTTTAGGCAACAGTCTTCCCCTGAGGGTATATACCACAAGTGTTGGATTCATAAATATTGTTCTGCACTGCAGCTCAGTTATCAAGGTTCATCTCTTCCAGAAAGTACAAATTGCTCCAGTCACCTGACATGCCTGCAGTGGTTGCCTCAGGATACATTCCCTAGCTTAAGATGATGATGAACAACAGGGCCTCCGAAAAATCTGGAGAAGATTCCTTCTTCCACATATGGAAGATACAAGAGCAGGATCAATAGGGTAGCGAGTGTGTATCACATCAACGGGCTTTCAAGGTTCCCCTCCAGAAGTTTACTGACTTTTCTGCACCCAGTCCCAGCTGTCTTCATTCTCTTGCCTGTTCTTCTCAGCCTCAATGATCTCTTTGTATTTTCTGCGGAAGAAGCCAATCTGCAAGCGAAAAAGAAATCTCTGTGAAGAGTGCATTTCTGATATACACGCATCGCAATTTGCAAAGTCCTTAAGATGAATTTTTTTTGGACTGGTGCTCCAGTAACTTGAAGGGGACTTGAGGGAGGATTGGATTCTACAATACATAGATGTGCATGGGAGCAGATATCTGGGTTGGTGTTTGGTCTGAGGGATCCACAGTATCTATTTCCCCCTTCAGCCTTCCGCCTCTGTCCCAGAAAGCGGTCTGTGGACAAACGGCGGCTCCCTTGGCCTGAAAAGCGAGATGAGCGCAGCACCCTATAGGCGCCTTTCACTGGACCAAACCGTCCGGGGCGCTTTAAAGGTAAAGGGGCCCCTGACCAAACTGCTGCTCATTGCCTTTTTAATTTCACATGCATGTGCAAATAAGATATATATGGTCATTGTGTTTGCGTGTGTGTTGGTGGTGTTTGGGGGGGGAGTTGGATGGTTGCGGTCGCTAGCGTGAAAAGTGGCGGAAGGGGTTGGCAACAACAGTAGTATCAGGACAATAGTCGGTACAGCAACAAGAAGAACAATTGTTTCTTTCCCTGTGAGCAGGTTGTATATTAAGATCTGAAAGCTGAATTCAGGTGCTCTGTACTTACTGCCAATCCTCAGATTTCTTAGGCCAGCAAGTAATTGGTTAGCAAGAGGCTTACCTGCCACACCACAATGCACAATTCCACCAAGTTGCTGCTAAACACAACTCCCTCAGCCGTGAATCGTACTGGACTAGTCACCATCTCCCAACCTAACCTATGTTACAGAGTTGCTGTGAGGATAAATTGGGTGAGGTAATGAAATATACTCGGAGTTGAGAGTGGATTCCATGCTCTTTATTCAGCTCATAGTGGTGAGGAGGAATGGAAGTTCCCCCAAAATATCTGCTTTATATACATTATTTACACAATGGGCTGCACACGATTGTCTAATTCCGGGATTCTCCTGTAGGCCAATCAGGTTGTGGATTCACTTCCACCTGGAGCTGGATTGGGTGGCTCCTGTGGACCAATCATACTGCTGCATTGTTCTAGGACCAATCAGACTGCTGCATTCTGAATCCTATTGTTCTAGGACCAATCAAACTGCTGCATTTAGGATCCTATTCAACTCAGTACATAACAGTCCACTTACATCTCTTGGTGCAGCAGCACTGCTGGATGGAAAAGGCTTCACTGGGACCGTGATGGTGATTGGAATTCAAACGGCAGTGCCCTTCCTGATAGGCGACATAAGCCTATCAGGAGCTGGATCTTAGCCTGCACCCTGCATTGGCGAATGGGGATGCAGCCTGGGATGTGGGCTGTGCCAGGGGGCGGAGCCAATGGAGCTGACTGTGGGCTTCCCTCGGATTCGCCCCCTGCCCATTTAAGCAGCCAGCACCTGGGACACAGCCTGTTTGTTCCTGTGCCGGGTTTTCCCCATCCCACGCACCCTCAATTTACACTGATAGGCAATGACTTTGTTGTGGATATGGTGGTCACTGTTCTTTACGGGGCCGGGTAAGGATTTGCCCCCCGGGATAATTGGCTCTTACCCAGTAGTTTTGCCTACCTCATAGCAATTCATCACAACTGGTTGAGCATTGGGGCAATCCCTTGTTTTGGATGGAGGGGAGGTTGTAGGCTCCGCCTGCCCCTCCAAGCGCAGGGGTATCCCGTTAAAGGGATCCGGGGGGAGTGGCCATGTCTGCATGCCAAAGGGGACCAGGGCCGAAGGCACTCCCCCAGACAGCAGCCCCTGTGGGGGTCACCCTATTCGATGTAAGTCTTAGGAACCCCCACCTGGATTGACTATGCGTCACTTCCGGCAGGCGGGCCAGAAGTATCTAGATTGCCGCATGCCCAAGCCAAACCTCTTCCATCTGTATTCAATAAAGTTGTGGCTTGTTTTGACCCCAAACCCAGTCTTATTGGTCTCTTGTTTATATGGGTTGGGGTATGGGAAGTCCGATGCCTTGTCCTGCAGAACATATATACCACCTTGTGCCCACTTTTCTTCTGAAGAAACAAACAAATGCATAGAAATGAGAGTTTCTCTCCTCTCTCTCTCTCTCTCTCTCTCTCTCTCTCTCTCTCACACACACACACACACACACACACACACAGCTCAGTCCAGAAATCAACCTGAGTTGAGAGGCACTCCTATTAGAAGAGGCTTGTCTTGTCAGCGGTTCAAACCAAATTTCCCCTGAAGTTGCATTTGGAGACGTTTAAAAAACCACTGAGAAATGTTGCTAATCTGACAGATTCTTCCCTTTCAAGTTCTTCATGATGTTTCCACATTCTCACTGACTCCTCACATTTTGCTTTAGGATACATTTGGCAACAATGCTTAAAAATGAGTATGGGGGAAACAGGGAGATGTTGCTACTCACATTGGGATTTATTCATTTTTTACACTTCCCTTAGAGATTCTTGCAGATCTTTCACCTCAACAGGACCTTCCAAAATGAGGCCCATTTTCATTTTAGGAAAAATTCAAGAGCACTTCTTATTTTAGAAGAGTGATGTTGAAACTACTTGTATCTAATGATCCCCTGTAGCAGATTTCCTCAACCTCGGCCCTCCATATGATTTTGGTCTCCAACTCCCATGAACCCTAGCTAGCAGAACCAGCGGTCAGGGATGATGGGATTTGTAGTCTCAAAACATCTGGAGGGCCGAGGTTGAGGAAGCCTGCCCTATAGCTAACAGGTTTTATACTTCACACGTGATAGTATTTTGGGGTGAACTGTCCAGGAGGGAAGCACACTTGTATGACCATAGGCTTGTGAGGGCAAACACCAGAAACTTCTCCTGCCCGATGGGAGCTACACAAGAACACAATTTTTTGTGCCTTCTCTTTCTAATGGGAAATCATATCTGCTGCCTTTAAGGGAATTTCAAACCCTTCTGTTCAAGAAGAAGTTGCGGAGTTGCCATTTTTGCTGGCCATTTAATATTAATCAGTAGTTTTACAAGTCCCCACCCCTGACTAAAACAATTTGATTTGCGTGAACATTTTGAGTCTACTCTTCCTGACTGGGATTTTTATGTCCTTCCCATAAACAAAAATGATTGCAATAAAGAGGTTTGGGTAACCGTTCAGGAGTAATTACTCAAACATAGCAGCATGCCATTGCGATCATTAAGTCAATATTTTGTTCATTGTAATTAAACATTTATGTTATTCCTACTGTTTTAAACCTGCTCTCACCCTCCTGCAGGGTGTGATGTTTTCGCCTGCCTCCATCAGTCAGACGTTATTACCCTCTTCCCCATCATGGAGCATATTTAAAATGCCTTTGTACATTAGATTTGATCCAGCTACGGTTCTATGAAACATGACTTTTAAACTGAAAATCTTTTATCAAATCAGATACCCAGCAAAAGTCCAGAATTCTCTTGTCTGTGACCTGTTTCAGCTCTTATTAATATGATGCTGGGCATTTAGGAAGAGGTTATTGTGGTGTTTGCCCGTTCTTTTTTAAAATGTCTGTACAGGGGAAGAGAAAGAGTTAATAGGTAGACCAATAGAAAAGCCAGAGGCGGAGCCTACCTGTTTATAAAAGGGCTTAGCCTGAGATCTGGGGTGGTTGGTCTTGATTGGTTGGTTGGTTGGGAAAAGGCAGTTGGGAAAGCAGTTGGCAGACAGTTGGAATTAGAGAGACAGTTAGTGAAGTCGTTTCTTGTGTGAGGGGAGGTAGAAGAGTTAGAGACAGGATAAAATTAAGGCTAAGAAGGTAATGAGTAACAATGCAGTTAAAGTTTATTTGTGTCTGCAGTAAACTACACTCTTCTTTGTTAACTTAAGAACCTGACTGAGACTAAGTGATTTACCGGGGAGGACCTGGTTGGTGGCAGCGGATTAGTGGTGTACGGGTCAATAGTCCGTGAGACGACCGGGGGCTCCGTACAAATGTCACAGTTATCCATATGGTATTCCAGTGTCTGCTTTGAACTATGGAACTTGCTTCCACATGATGCAAGGCTACCAACTTAGAAAAGTGGGAGACACAAGTGGGGGTGCTGTTGTGCTCAGCTCCTGTTTTTGGACTCACTCCATAAGCCTCTGGCTGACCACTGGGAGAATACTGGATTAAATGGAAAACTAGAATGTCAGAGAGAAGGTTTCTGGCTTCCAGTTCTCCCTAATGTGTGTGTGTAGGGAATACAGTGGTGCCTCGCAAGACGAAATTAATCCATTCCGCGAGTCTCTTCGTCTTGCGGTTTTTTCGTCTTGCGAAGCAACCCCATTAGCGGCTTAGCGGCTTAGCGGCTATTAACGGCTTAGCGGCTTTAAGAAAAAGGAAACAAACTCGCAAGAACTCGCAAGACGTTTCGTCTCGCGAAGCAAGCCCATAGGGAAATTCGTCTTGCGGAACGACTCAAAAAACGGAAAACCCTTTCGTCTAGCGAGTTTTTCGTCTTGCGAGGCATTCGTCTTGCGGGGCACCACTGTATAGGGAATTCCCACCCACCCTCACAGGGAAATTAATCATGAAGTTCTCTACTTGCCATCTAAAGTATCACCCTATACATCAGGGCTGCATAGACATCAGGTGTGCAGGATCTCATTTATTAAAATAGACTCCAGAGACCCAAGTACAGAAGGGGTTAGACTAGATGATCCTCAGGGTCCCTTCTAACACTACGATTTTAAGTCACTCAGAGATCTCTACAAGCAGATTCTGGCTCTGCCATTAGGCAAAGTGAGGCATCACCCTTAGCTACAGACTTCTGAATATGGAACAGTGTCGACACCATCTTGAAGTTTGCCTCAAGGTGCAAAATATCCTGATCCTGATCCACCGCCTGCCAATTCATGTTAGATAAGTCTACTCAGGAGTAAGCACCACTGAGTACAATGGAACTTAGTCCCAGGAAGGGATGTCAGACAATTCTGATGAAAGCAAAACGGTCTGGAGACTGCCCAGGTTCACTCATTGGTCTGATGTCTGGAACAGAAGTCAATCCAGTGAATACATTTGGCAT